CTATTGGGCGGAGCTAGCTGTCACTGCTAGCTCTGCACAATCGTTTTCTATTAACTTTTTTCTACTTTTTTCACTCTTTTTCTGTTCTGCTCGGTGCCTCTGAGGGACCGAGCAGAACAGCCGAGCCAAATTCCGCTCGGCGGCATTCGGCTATTCACTCACTGCTGTTCGGCATCTATAAGAATAGACCGAACAGCAGCGAGTAGCCTGCCGGAGGTTCGGCTTTGCCAGCCAGATGTTGGATCGGCTGAGTTGAACTCCTCCTGCACTTCGGGTCTCGAACATGCTGAGCATGTTCGGCCGACCCGAAGCCATGTGAAGCCACCCGATGTACGGCTGATTTCAGCCGATTTACGGCTGAAATCAGCCATACCAGCCTGAAGTGAATAGCTGAACAGTGTTCGGCTCACTTCGCTTTAGGTCGGTCATTCACTCGGCTGCCAAGGCAGCTTAGTGAATAGACCCCTATGTGTCTCTGCTAAGCTACCTGAAAAAATACCTTTTTTGTAAAACCAAAATGAATCAGATTGGGGTGCTGCTGTTGTATGTATACCATGCTAATTTAAAAAAAAAAACAATTCCACAGCCGAATATAAGTTGCCAGTGTGCACTGTGACTGTGACTGCCCATCCAAATCATACTGTTCTGTAAGACCAAGTGCAGCTGTAGGGAATCCCACAATCACATTATTTAAAGGATTTGTGCATTATAAATGATGCCATCATGAAACCACCCTCTCCCAGCTGTTTTTTTTTGGATTAGTACATTCCCAATTGGGCCTAAAATGGACAGAATTTTACAAGAATCCAATAGGGTTATTCACAAAGCTAGGCCGAAGGATCATCCGTAGCCTCGCAACTGACAGCTGGGCGGAGCCAGCGTGATCTTACGGCTGGCTCCGGCCAGTTGCACTTACAGTTCAGCATCCCCTGGTTACTATGTACTATGTAACCAGGGGATGCTGAACTGTCATTACAATGAGAGCTCAGCAGAGCCAGCCTTGATATCACGGCAGGCTCCACTGAGCTCTCATTGTAATGACAGTTCAGCGTCCCCTGGTTACCTAGTAACCGGGGGACGCTGAACTAATGACAGCTCAGCAGATCTCGGGGGGAAAGCGATCTCTTGTTGTTGCCCATTGTAGAGGCCATAGGCACTTTTCTTATCCCCAGGAGCCGTGGGCTGGAAATGCCAAGGTTCCAACGCAGATGCTCTTCTCTGCGTCAATGCTGCCTGAGTGCCCGCTGCCAACGCAGACGCATTTTATATCTTTCCTTTCTAAGCACAGTTATTATAGCTAGTGAAATAATTAGCCTGTGAATCCTTGTGGGCTTTCTGCGGAGAGACAAT